AACATAAAATAAAGCAGCGTTTTTCATACAACAGTTTATATTTTGTGTATTTATTGGAGAGGAAGAAGGTACAAGTAAGGATATACAGCTACATTAACAAAGCATAGCATGGCATGATTCAAAATGAAAGGATTGTACATTCTGCACAAAGTTAATTAAATGCAACTAGGTATAACAAAACATTTAATTCTTACCAGAGTTTTCAGGGGAAAATCTTGTTATATATCAGACAATTAAGTCCTTAATGATACCCAAACAAAATATATGTACATATAAAGGTTTGGCTAGAATTTTAGGTTTATGTTTTTATTCCAAATCGGCTCATCCCATGCAGTGAAATATTCACTTACAGCATCTTTGGTAAATATTATTCACTGGTTTAGATTTTTATAATTAAATGCATGTTCTTCTAAATTAACATATCATTAAGACTTTGTTTGATGTTAAACATTACAGCTTAGAATTTTAGTTAACATTAGAAAAGTCAATAATATCAAATACCAGTAGTGTGTGAAATATGTTCTTGTTCATCTGAGTGCGAACAATTACTGCCTAGCAGCTTCTGATTGATATTTAAAATCCCAGTTAAGTAATAGGCAATTCACACATTTCTGTAGCTGTTTTTCCATATTCTTTGTACCAAATATATAATTTTAAAGAAAACTGAAAAAAAATATATTATTCTACAAAAATAATACCGTACAACTCTACAATGTGTACAAACTAGGATATATGTGATATACATGACACAAGTACACAGGTGGATGGATAGCTAAGGTCAAGAACACAATTATTAGCCAGTTGCAAAACTAGCTGACCAGGTATTGTGATATACTCTGAAGATATTTCATATGGACAACACACAGTAGACTAAAAAAGGTGAACAGGTATTACCCATCTACAAAGTAAGTCTATTGCTGCAGCCCTGAAGTAACCCTGAGCTTCCCAGAATATTGTCCAAGAATTCAGGATCTGTGAAACTTCCAAAAGTTTCTCATTTTCCAATTATTCTACAAATTTTAGGAAATTTCAGGGCTTGTTTTTGTGAGTTCATAACTGAAACAACTGTGTGGCATAAATGACAAATTATTCCAAACAGAATATACTCTACAACATATGTGGTGGATTCAGCACATTGTTTAACCTTGCACTTAACATATGTATACATAATGAATCCAGGCCAGAATTTTGGCAATTAATCATTTCTACCTAGTTTTTTACAGCAGTAAATATACACTAAAAATCAAGCAGATGTGCAGTTTTCTATCTTTTCTTTGTTTTATATTTTAATAAGGGCAAAACTGCATACCCATCTTTGCATGCTTTTTATTGTGGGTGCATAATTGCAATGATAAATTTGTAATCATTACAGTTCCATAAATTGTTTTTCACAAATTATGCAGTTTAATCATGTTATAAAATTTTTTAATCATTATTTGTTTTGTTTATACAGGTTATCTTAATCTGTTTTAAGTGAATGCCAGTTTTACTAGTTTAGAAAAATCCCCACTTATATTCACCAGTACAGGATCTAGGTCTTACATATTTTAATCTATATGTGGCTTCAAATTTGATGATGAGGAACCCATTTTGAGATTAATAATGCTTGGAGACAGCTTGAATAGGTAATGAAGAAAAAATTTAATATAAGTTTAACATAATAGCAAATGTACAATGTTTCGACATGAGTTTTATCATCATCAGGTACAAGTAGTTTACACTGACACAGATATATATACAGTGTGGAACAAAGAGGTCACATGACAGGATACTGTAGCACAACTTAGAAGAGATATCTTGGCACCCCAGAGTGTTGATTTAGAGTAGGGTTGTTTTGTTCAATTAAGATGGATTCCTTGATTTTTGTGTTTGTTTGGTTCTTTGTTTAAAATTACTGTGTTTTTAATAAATATACTATGGTTTTTTTGAGTTGCAATGGTGGAAAACATGGGGCAGTTTATTATTGTGTTCCTTGAATCTGGTTTCCAATGTTCTTCCTGTTTCTCTGATGTAGAATTCTGGGCAGTTATTGGATGTTATTTTGTAAATGACGTTGGTATTGTGTGATTCTAAATAATTTTTGTTTACTAACGATTTTAATTTAGGGCCGGGTTTTTGAGAGAATTTGATGTTGACAGGAATATTGTGTTTAATGGCTAGTTTTGTCCAAGTGTGGATAACTCTTGAGCTGGTTTCAGGGACAAAGGGTAAACTGCAGTGTAATGTTCTGTTGTTGGGTTTGTTGGTATCAATTTTGTTCGTGAGTTGAGTTTTGTTGTGGGAAATGTTGGAGTGAAAATTTATTAGTGTGAATGAAGGATGCTTTATGTGGTTGATTTCTTTCGACCTCAAAGTATTTGTATGAAACTGTTTTTTCTTATTATAAGAATATAATCTTTTTTAAAGTATATCAAGTGAAATCAAACTTCTAAAATCAATTTTCATTCCACAAGTGTAAGGCTTTGTATATTGCAAATCCCCATACATTGTTTTCCACACATTGAATATATACAGCTTTCATTACACTTCATATTTGAAGTGTATGAATACACTCTTCACTCTCCTCATAAGTTATAATGTATTATTCAGTACAACTTCTTTCAATCTGGAACTATTAAAGTTGACTTAAGTAAACTGGTAAAATGCTATATACAATATTAATGGATCCTGTTAGTTCCCACTCATTCATTTCAATGGAGTCCACCCATAAAAAAATAATCATTAAAATTTAAGTGTAAAATTTATTGCAAAATGCTTTTTGGGATATTACCAAAGAATATTGTTCAAATTTTATTAACACGTGTGCAAAAGTGATAAAGTTTAAAACATATTTTACTTCATTAAAATTTTGAGTCACATAACATTTTACAATAGTGCAGTAACTGCCAAAACACATCTTGACTGATAGGTAGCAGTGAAGGAAGACAGAACATATTCTAATAATGTTGTAAAAATGAAACATAACAGCAGCTAGTGCAGTGAAGTTAAACACTGTCATTACTTACTAACACACAATACTATATTATCTGAATAGACTTTAAAGTTTTATTCTTATTTATCCCCTAATTGTTTTTAAACTTTGTAAAATATAGTTACAACTATAAAAGGTTTTATTTTACAAAATGAATTGTTGCTTTTCTAATACTTAAGTTGTTTGACTTTAAACCTAAGCCACCTGAAGAATATCAAAAAATACTAGGTTTTTACTTTGGCTAAGTAGTCATTTGGCTAAAAAAATGAGTTATGATTATTCATTTATCTTGGTTGATAAATAAAACGTTTGAGCAACTGCACTGTTATAGATACAACATTTAAGGTCCCAATATTTTCATAAACACACTTATAAACATGCAAGATAATACTAAATTGTCTGGAATATCAAGGCTGGAAAATTGTACACATTTGTGTTGCAACAGGTGAATGATAAGAGAATAAATCTTTTACTATTTTTAAATGTTACGCAATATAGTTCTGTTGGGTTTATGATACATTTTCATGTACAAAATTTTGCAACAAAAAGCAACTTATTTTTAATTAATGTGTTTGAAGTCTGAAGACAGATCTTCTCTTGCTTTGCATTGTTTTTTTGGTACTGATGTCAATTTTGTATGTTAATTCTAACAAGTTTCAATAAGTTTAACTCAAAAATATTGACATATTCTACCATTTCCTGATATTTGTTTAGTGTAATTCAAGAATTAAAAGAAAAAATATTTTTATTTATGCATAGCTGAAAAAAACTATTGTCTGCAAACAGAGCTACTTTTGCTAAGACCCTATCACCCACTGAAGGTATGTTATCCATTTCTTGGTTGTAGCTTTGTTGTCACATCATGTGGTTTGATCATTTACTAATAGCTATAAAGTTTAAATACAATTAAATAATTCAAGAATTCAATTATCACATAACAGTAGATTGAATATAAAGGTTTGAATATAAAGGTGTGAAAATATTTTTGTATTAAATTATATGTGTTCAATAAGAACACATCAGATAATTTGACATAAGGGAAGCTTATACAGCATAAAGACCAGTTTAAGGTTCTCAAAGTTTAAAGAGAGGTTAAAGAGACGCTGAAAGGGTAACAAAGACAACTTTATTACAAGTTTAACACAGTGAAAGTGTATACTATGTTTGGAGATGTTTTTTAACCATCAGAACTTTACAAGTAGTTTATGTAGATAAAGGAATATATGAATAATATAAAAGAAAGAAGTCATAACTGTAGATTGCTTGAGGCTTAATAAAGGTATCTTGATGTTCCATTCTTTATTAAAGATTAAAGTATATTTACTCTTTAATAAATATACTATGGTTTTACTGAGTTGCAATATTTGTAAAGAGATTCTGTTTTTAACTATGTTCACCAAATAAAATGTAACTGTCATCGAATAAGTTAAGTTTGCTAAGTTTAGCATTTAGTGAGGATGGTAGGCAACTGCAAAATATTCTGATGACTCAAATCTTTACTGGATATTATTTCTATGTTTATCCTATACAAACAAGTACAATTACTCATTAACTGGGTCACATTCTTCATATTGCATCACTTGTGAAAATTAATGAGGACGGATTGCACTCTTGAGTAGCCCAGTGCTAGAGCAATGGTCATGTTAGCCAGAAGTCCTGGCTTCAAAACCTGATCTTTTCAATTACTGGCTTTTTCATTTAAATATTTTATATTAATTATTAAAATAATAGTCCTATTTCATTGTCTCCAAGCAGAATCTAGAAAATATTGTTTGATGCTACCACTCAGCTCTGCAGCCTACAATAGTGAAATGTAAATGAAGGTATATTTAATATATTTCAATCCAAAATTAAACCTATAAATTTTAACTAGTGTTAATAAATTTCAAAGACCATGGTTCACTTAATATTTCTACCAATGGTCAATTACATATATTGCACTACAAGTTTTATGTTGATTTTTCAACATTATCAAATTATCTTTGTTGTTGGTTCTGGATGTACAATGTAATAGAAACTTTGAACTTACTGCATGGCACATGGTACTCTTCTTTATTTTCCAGTGAAATTTCATAGTTTCTTTCCACTTCTTTGGGTAATCTTCTATATAAATCTTTACAGGAAGTAAAAGTCCCTAAAATGTTTATAAATTTAGAATAACTAAACCTGTAAAAACAGACATAAAAATTTAGATGTCTAGTTGAACAATATCTGAAATATGTGGAACAGCATTTTTGTTTTGGAAAAACCTGCTGCCTTTCACAGTGATGGGTCACAAAAAGTTTTACTGGTCACTACACAAAACATCATCATCACTTGTCTGACACATGTCCCCTCTTAAAGTGATACACACACACACACACATATATATATATATATAAATACATATGAAGAAAAAAAGTTACTCTATGTGGAAAAAAAACTAATTACTTGCACTTAGTAGACTTACATTTCTAATTAAGCATAGAAATGAAAGGAGTTTCTAATTTTTTTTTTCAAAAGTTGTCTAAACATTTTTTAACATTCATATTCAAATATTTTGCACAACACAGTTCTTGGCACAACTGAAAACTAAAACTTCTCACTCTTCAGCCATGTCCCCACCTACAGTTTCTTTTTCACTTGTTTCAGCGTTTTTTTAAAAAAACTCTTGATGAATGTTTCTTGACACATATCAGTCAACAAATTAAAATTTATGTGAACAAAAGGAGGAAGGTTGTGCACTAAGAGTCAAGAAATGCCCAATTACTCATTCTTCATATTGCATGTATCTTTAAAGGCATAGTCTAACAGAAGTCATACACTCTTGTTAGAGACAGTCAGTGTTTCTAAGTGCCTTCACAGACCTTTTACTATCAGTTAAACTGATTGGCAGCTTCAGTTTCTGTCAGTTAACTATGTTTTAAAACTGTTACTGATGCAATCTAAAGGATGAAATATTAATGCTGATGTAATAAGTCCTTGAAAACTTTTTTCTTGATAATTAACTACAAAATGGCCTATTTCCACATACTTGTCACCTTGTGCTACATGTTTATATATATTGTACTTGCAGATCTTCGATTTACCTGTATATAAATTTGAATTCTGAAAATACCATTTTCATATTGATGAATGACTAAAACTCAATAAGTTATAAGCAATTTCATTCAAAATTAAATTGATATGAGAGAAAAAAAGGCAAGAAAGTAAAAGCGGATTTAAAAAATCAAAAAGTATTAGTATAAGCAACAGGAATAGAATAATTTTCACTCTGATTCACGAACACAAAAATTTAATTTGAATATCAGGAACATACATTTCAGGAAAAGAAACAATGTGCATAGTTCACTGTTAAAAATTATATAAGATCAAAATGATTGTGCATAAAAATTAAAATATTAAATCTAAAACTAAAGAACACAATGTGATAGTGCTATAAAAGATGGAAGTGGTTGAAGATTAACTTGGTTGGTTCAACAGCTGAATTTAAAGCTAAGCTTTCTGTACATATAGAAACATTAACTGAATTACCCATTCCCTGTGCAGGTGTCCAAATTACTTGAAATAGGTATTTAAAACACAACAAAATTACTTTTAAAAACATATATTTCAAAAATTCAATTTTCATAACATTTTAATTTTTATCTAAACCTTTGATTTTCAAAACAAAAATTACACAATCTAAATTAAAGGTTCCTGATATACCACACTGACTGTTGTTCCTTCTTCTGACAAAATATAAGCAGGTTTTGATGAAATCCAACCCATGATTAAGAAAAACTTGGGAAGTTTAAAAAATGATAAGGCTCCTGGGCCAAGGATTTTGAAGGACGTTAAAGATTGGATACGTGAGCCACTTGCTACTATTTTTTGTCAGTCCTTGAATAGTGGG